CTAGACAGTTGTGTGCACAATGACTCAGTTCATATTGAAGCGTCGAATAGAATATATCAAGGATGAGCAACCAGCAGTCTTTGGGCTCAATGCAGTTTTTTGAATATTTTTTTGAAGCCTGCCGAGCTTTTCCAAAGTAAAATTTTATTCATTTTATCACATTCCCATCAATAAATTAATTATAATTTATTTTTTTCTTGTTGCATTAATTTGATATAATTACTTATTTCAAATATTGTATGTTTGTATTATCAAAATTTACTATTAGATATTTTATATTAAAGTATTTTTTACCTTTTTTTTATTATGTAATCTCTTTCTAAATACGGTTTTCTGATTTGTAATTCATTTCTTTGAAATAACAAAATTGTCAACAATAATTAATTACAACATTGAAATCAATCTACTATTCCACATATTTTGAAATTGCTTTAAACACAACTGCAAAAAATAAATTTAGATATTATTTTAGTAAATGTATGCTCTTCATTGCACTGCATACACAATATCAAGTTCACAGCAGGTACGTTTCCATAAAAAGCAGCACACAGGTTTGCTGGTAGATTGGTTTTTGAATCAGTCCCGAACTGTGAGTGTTAAATAAGATTATTGTCTTTTAAAATAAAGACACTGAAATTATGCCTGCAGTTTATTTGATAACATCTTTGCTTTATTAGTATTCTCATAGTGATGTTTTACTTTTGGGTAAACTATTAATTACTCATAAAATATAAATGTTTTCTCTGAATAATTATTGGTAAATGATAATGAAAGGGTATGGGCGCATTGCCATACAGAATCGGCCCCACCCTGGTATTTAAATAATTTATACGCCATTTTATAGGTCTATTTGATAAAAACCGATATACCAATTTTTCAACTTTGTACCTCATCTTATGGCCGAGATATCATTGAAAATATGCCAAAGTGGCCCCTTCTTTCAAACTCACTTTTTGGCGTAACCATAAAAGATATCGAAAAAATTTTTACGTGATTCTACTCACATTGACTCAGACCACATTACGTAGAACAATCGATTCCAAAAAATCGTTTACTATTAGCTGAAAAAGACAAAATAATTTTTCAATTGATTATTTCGGGTAGTGCATTTATTTGGACCACTTTCTAATTAGCGTTATTCGAAAGCCTATTGTTTTTTCTTTGAGTACTGCAAATATTATTCAAATCAATTTAGTGGAACACATTGGAAATTTGAAAAGAACAGAGCAAGTACACCCGCGCGTAACGCTAATAGTACCCTGCAATTGCATAGAGTTCGTTCGGACGCAAAACAGTGCGCAATGCGCCGAAACGATTCTTAAGAAATTCTGAATGCGAAAATATTTATTTTTTTTAGTTATATATGTATAAATTCACGGAGTTTGAAATTTTTCGAGATTATTAGTTTTACTATATTAATTAAATCACTAAAACTAGTGGTGTATCGTGCCTTAAGGCAAATTACTGGTACTTCCCGTACTATAATGAAATAAGAATATTGAATGCTTTCAAATATATTATTATAAATACTGTAACTTTTATTATTCGAATTTATAGACAAAATAAAAGTGCTCTTAAATTGAACGATGGCGTTTAAATATGTTAGCCTGAAAAGTGAATGAACAAAACTTAATGAAGCGGAGTTAGAAATTGCATAAACTGAATAGCAAAATTAAAATCATTTATTTGATTCGAATTATTTTCGATAATAATTTTTGAGAATTAAAAAAAATATGTTTTTTTAAAAAAAAAAAAAAAAAAACAATCTTGTCGTCCAAAAAAGCAAAAGCTTTTTTGATTCATTTAAATCGGATTTTTCGTTCTCTTGAAAACTCGGTTTCTATCTTTGCTCCGTATCTCCGACTTGTATTTGTTAAAAACTAATCAGTACGTCTCCTCATCAAAAGGAATCGAATGTTCATTACATCATTCATACACGAAATATAACACAAATACTCACATATATATTTTTTCTATTGTATTCCAAAATGTTCAGAAACCTTCGAAACGTGAAGATGTGCAAAGATTTTCGATTGCGATTTTTGAACGATTACAATAACTTACTTGCGGAAAGTTAAAAATATATACTGAAATTAAATGCATTTAAAATGTCACTATATTATAAGTAGATGCGAATTAGCTAATACAAAATTAGTTAAAAAAACACGATCTTTCGCATAAACCACGCAAAAGATACAAATATTATATTTATAAACAATATAATTTTCGAAATAAATTAATTAATATATTTTATATTATAAAAATAATGATTATTAGAATACTTTCAGTAATAATTTTTGTAAATTACTGAAGTACTATACAAAAAGCTTCTACATGATTTTTTTTATTTATTTTTCATAGCAAACTATACAAAGTACATTCAGCTATATTTTATTAGAGGTATATATTTTTTTACATCAAATGAAATTGTAGTACTGATAAAGAATGGTCACAATAAGGGCTTTATTGTCACAATGTTACAACTATCATTCAAAAAAAAGTTTTTTTGTGTTTGTTGAAACCAAAATGTTTCATTATATCATTATTTCATATGTATATATACATATATAACTATAAAATATTTTCGCATTCAGAATTTCTTAAGAATCGTTTCGGCGCATCGCGCACTGTTTTGCGTCCGAACGAACTCTATGCAATTGCAGGGTACTATTAGCGTTACGCGCGGGTGTACTTGCTCTGTTCTTTTCAAATTTCCAATGTGTTCCACTAAATTGATTTGAATAATATTTGCAGTACTCAAAGAAAAAACAATAGGCTTTCGAATAACGCTAATTAGAAAGTGGTCCAAATAAATGCACTACCCGAAATAATCAATTGAAAAATTATTTTGTCTTTTTCAGCTAATAGTAAACGATTTTTTGGAATCGATTGTTCTACGTAATGTGGTCTGAGTCAATGTGAGTAGAATCACGTAAAAAATTTTTTCGATATCTTTTATGGTTACGCCAAAAAGTGAGTTTGAAAGAAGGGGCCACTTTGGCATATTTTCAATGATATCTCGGCCATAAGATGAGGTACAAAGTTGAAAATTGGTATATCGGTTTTTATCAAATAGACCTATAAAATGGCGTATAAATTATTTAAATACCAGGGTGGGGCCGATTCTGTATGGCAATGCGCCCATATCCTTTCAGCAAACTTCTACGCTGCTCTTGAAAGTTCATAATTTTTCTGTGGCACTGTAGTAGTAGTCACAAATAATCCCAGAGACGATCTGACTCCACATCATATCTTTATACAAGCATTGTATTTTTATAATTAATTAAATTATTAACAGTGATTGAACAAATCATTTTCCATTTATTACATTTATGAAATTGAGTTTATATATAAAACTATGATATGTAGTATCTAACATTTATTTACTTAATATATAAAATTAAATTTACAGACCTTATAAAGTGTTCATTTATAATATGTAGCTTATAATTATGTTTTATTTATTTTACAATAATGATTTCACAGCATAAACCAGCCAAATTGAAACAATTTATAAAATCATTTACTTCAATAACTTAGTAATATCCTTATTTTGTTTTCCCAATGCAAGATCGGCATGTTCTGTTTTAGAAGAAATTTGGTCCAGAAGATCATTTTGGTAATCTATTTCATCGCCAAGCCCTCTTGCTAAACCTTTCAAACGATTAATGTTGCCAGACATTTCTTCTAAGTTTGCTTCTAAGATAGCATTCATATGTTTGCTGCCACTTTGCTGAATCCTTGTTTCTAAAAAAAGCATAGATGTTTCAAGTTATATAATGTGATGACCTGTATTACGAGGATTGAACAATTCTTTGATTTGATCAAGGTTTAAGATGATAAAATAGTTATGTATTTATTTTATTATGGTTTCATTTCAATTTTATAATTACATTCGTGCTATATTTACTAACAAAATATTGTACTGCTGGCTTGTAAAATCCATTATATTTACATGAGCACAGGTTTGACAAAATAAATTTTGCAATCTAATCAGTTAATATTTTTATACATATTTTGAATAAATAAAGGTGACCATTTGTAAACTTACAATCTATAAAAGTTTTTGTCTCAAAGCAAAATAAAACTATTACATGATAATTGAAAAAGGAAAGAATTACCAGCAGGTATGCTTTGAGTATTGTGCAAGTTTGGTGAAGAGTGTACATCCAAATTTAATTTTTTAGTTTCAGAAGTTATGTCAGATAAACTACTCTTCATGCTAGCATTTGCAGTAGCCCCTCTTTCATCCTTCTGTCCAGACAGATAGTTTTTTAAACTTCCAAAAACTGATTTAATACCATTTATATGCTTTTGACTAAATCTCAATGTAGTATTAATTTCATCTAGACGTTTGCTAGAGTTTTCGAGTTGTTCTCTTTGCCTTATTAACTCTTCTGCAGTAGCAATTCCAATTTGTTCAGAGTCCCTTAACAAAGCTATACTACGACTAGAGCTCGCAATAGTTCTTTCTTCAATAGCTTTCTTTTGATCAATGAGCTTTTGTCTATCGTTTTGTACACCACATTCTGAATTATAATTCAAATTGGAGTTGTATTGCTGATATGATCCATTTACCCTGTGGTAGCCATTGCTCGCAGAGGGGACACGCGAATTTTTAAGAAACGCCTCATCGTCGACATCCTCAAATAAATTATTTGTATCTGACAAATACTTATGACTTGACATTTTTCCTTTGCGAAACAGAAAGAAAACAGTCACAATAAACTTTCAATTGGTTTATAGAAAACTACACGACATTGTCGTACTTTCAAGCTGTCAATTTATTCTATAACTTCACGTTTGTTTGTGTGACAAAAATAATAAATTAAATCATTCTTAATTGATAATAAATAAAAAAGCAAGGCTATACGTGTATTCAATTCACTTCTAATTTTTAAACTGCGTTTAAATTATAAATTATGTACTATGAATTTTGTGTCAACTCACAATCAGTGCGAGGCTAATTGTCAAAAAAAAAGTAACGAACGTCAAACGTCAAATCGCTTTTGATAAGAACAACATGGGATGAGTCATGCGTTGATGAAAGAGATTATTAAAATTATGGTTTTATATATTTAATCATACTTGTAGCTTTTGTTTCACTCATTAGTAATTGTGCTGATAATTTTATAGTTTTATAAACAGGTATGTAAAGTAAAGTGTAATAAGTAATGTAAAAACATTAGTATCAATTTTGTTATGGTTCACTTTTGCAAAAAATTCTGAGGATATTTATGTATATATTTTTTCTGTTGTACTCACTATTAAGGTGAAATATGTTTTTGAGATCTAATATCTTGTACTTAATATTTGCATTTCATAAGAGCAACAATGAGGTATTTCAAGTTTTAATCATTATTTGTTTTTTGTGTAATTACATGTTTGTGTAATTATGTACAATGTTATTCACTATATTTTATATAATACTTAGCAATTGACATAATATTTTCACATCCCAGTCAGGCAGGGATGCCTGGTATACATATACATATATATCCATTTCATTCTATATTATAAGTTTTATTTATCCCTGCATTTAGTCAGCTATCTATTAATATCTTTTATCTTCAATTTCTTTATAATATTTCTTTTGAAATTATTACCATTACTAATCATCTTTATATTGCTCGGAGGTTGTTTATAAATTTTTGTTCCATTTTGTTTTTTCTATTGTGTTCAATGTGAAATTGTTTGTGTTGCCTTGTGTAATGTTTATGTATATATATTTATATTATAAACTTATAATAAACAGTATAAATTCTTAAGGATATTTATATTGAAAAAGGCAGTATTACAATAGTCATGAAATATTTTATCAGGAATTTAACATCAGCATTGAAATCTATTAGTTATATTTACAAATTAAGGAAATCTATCATTCAATTAAAATTTTACTTTTATACCTTCACATAAATACATACTTTATATATGATGTTTATCCTAGACGTTTAATATAACATTCCTAATACGAGCCAAAATATGAAAAAATGGTAATGAGTAGCATTAGATTATTCATGTAAAATGTTACTGTTTATTTAAATAATAAATAATTTAATATTCATATGCCTTATTGTTTCATATGTTGATAAATGTTATAATAATGTGTTGTAGAATTTAAAATTTTCATTTAAATCTCTAGCAAAATGGCAGAATCTTCTATCGAAATTCCATCTGCCCCAGCATGGCTTTCTAAATTGGAAACTAGACGTGAAATATTGAGCAAAGCCAAAATAGGTCATGAAACAGGAGCTGGTGCTTCTTGTAATGTATGTGGTATGTGGAAAATTAATCACTTATTAAATTGTAGTATTTATAATCAATAATTAAAAACATTTTACATGAATAACATTATTATACACAGATAATTAATTTTTCATACTGGTCACCTAATTCAAATGTAACTTAATTAATATCAAATGTGCAAAATTTATTATAACAATATTTGTGCTTATGATAGCTCAATATTTTATTTGTATGCATGCGTCCGGATGGTGTAGAGTTGTTACATGGAATTGTTTCAGGACTATCATGGGTACTGTCATGGTTATTAAGTTCATACTTATAGTATGTACTTGAATTTGTATTTTTCAGTTTGTCATTTAATATTCAATTTTCTAGGGAAAGATTGTCCTGGGTTGGATTTACACTTTTGGAGAAAATTATGTAGGAATTGTAAATGCCGAAAGGATCAACATGATGTGCCAGATGAAGATTTGTCTGGATGGGCTCAATTCGAAATTCTTGGTGCTATACGTTCAAAGCCTGCCTGTGAGTAATACATATTTATTATATATATATAAATATATATATATATATATATATATATATATATATAAAATTATACGCTGACTAGATTTCTTTTAATTATTATGATTTTATATGATCTGCTGGCATTAAGTTTGGCCTATTGAAATATTTCAACACTTTTTGTTCTATAATATAAAATTATGTAGATCAAATTATTTATAATAAATAGCTCACTACAGAATTTTAATTTATAAATATTGAGGTTGAAAATGAATTGCAAATAATATATTTTATTTATGAATTTCAAATAGATCTCAAGATAAAGGCATTGGAAAACCAGGCTGTACACTTAGACTGGGTGCCTCCAAATATATCTTCAGAAATGGTACAGCATAAATCGAATATGTATCAACAAGATTGTTAAAATAAGGTTTAAATCATATAAATATAAATTCTATTACAGGCTATTGATTATATGAATCAATTGGGCAAAGATAACATTCCAATCACAGGTTCTGCTGCTGCTCTTCACAGAAAACAACAACTTGAGTATCAAGTGCCTCCACATGATTTAGATCCCAATCTTTGTCACAATCTTACAAATACTGAGAAGATATTATTTGAAGAACATGTTGCGAAAGTAATGTCTAATTCTGGCCAAGGTTATGTTACACGCCTAGGTTTACAAAAAGCATCTAAAATCCATATTGTAAACCATGAAATTAAACAAATACCACAAAATAGTTTGGAAAAAGAAAATATACAAAATATGCCTTTTATCGAAAGTATTAAAAATGACAAAATTCTTCAACAAGTTTTGTGTTCAGAGTTAGTCAAAGGCGTGCGATATGATGTTCACAAAGATGATCTTATAAATAAAAATACTTCAAAAAGTTATAAACAAGAAACATGTTTAAACAGTCCCGATTTTATCAACAGCCCATTTCTTTGTGAGGTCACAAAAGATAAGCTTATACCAATGAAAATCAATTCAGAATCAATTCGGAGTGCTGTTTTACATGGCTGGTATTATGACAAGTTATTTGAAGATTTAGATAGTAATAAATTAGACTACTCAAATGATTTACTATTACATCCTATAAAAGCATTCAGAGCAGAGTACTTACAAAACGATGCATTTAAAACCGACACAGATAATTTTGCTATCATTTCAAGTAGAGATATTTTGACTTCATCTACAAATGTAACAACAAATCCTGAATATATAGAGAAACAAACGGATAATCACAATGATGATACAATACCAATATTTTCTGAAAATAATGATCATCCACCTAAAATTAACTATTCAAATCACCCATTCTTATCCAAGATTGAGAATGGTTTAGCAGCTAATATATCACAATCCATTAAACCTTCTTCATTAAATTTAAGTAAACCCTTGCAAATCGTGGATAATAAATGTATTGAAAAATTAATAGATTTAAATGAATTTGAGGAACTGCATATTTCCTCGCGAGAAGATACACCTTCAATATTATGTCAGCGTTGCACATTACAAATTCATTCTAACGAAATAGTAGTGCAAACAGAAAAAAATGGAAAACAAGTTGCTTGGCATCCAAAATGTTTTGTTTGCTTTTCATGTAATGAACTGTTGGCTGATTTAGTTTATTTTTTGCATAAAGGTAATATATATTGTGCTAGAGATTTTGCTGCCATTTTAAAAATACCTCGTTGCAAGGCTTGTGATGAATTGATATTTACAAAAGAGTATACAGTTGCGGAAAATGCAAGTTTTCATGTCAGACACTTCTGTTGCTTTCATTGTGATACTCCATTGGCTGACCAGAATTATGTGAGTGATGACAAATCCGGTCAACCAGTTTGTTTACCTTGTTATGAGAATTATCAGGCTGAAAAATGTCAGTCTTGTCAAAAACCAATTGCTGCAAATGAGCAAGGGGTTGCATGGTCATCGCTTCACTGGCATACATACTGCTTCAATTGTGCTGGAAGAAATTGTAACAAATCTCTGCTAGGAGGAAGATTCATGGTAAAGAACAGTATTCCTTTGTGTAGTCCACAGTGCTTTGCCAGTTTGAATAATTAAGAGGAATAAGTGCCATTATTTAACAAGGAAGAGAAAGATAATAAAGAGCATCAGTTTATTTCAATATTAATGAAATGAAATGCATATTTTCATTGCTGATTATTACAGCCCTACAAATGATCACAAAATCTTATGTAGGTGCAAAATAGGATGGGAAAGGATTGTTTTGTTAATGTAAAAAGATCAGTTTTTGAGATTAAAGTCATTGTTTTTATAAAGTAAATTAAAACCACAAATTTTCTATGTTATTCACTTAACATATTTCGTTTTTCAATGCATTTATCAGTATTTTTTTATAAATTTTATATATTTTTTAAACCTAATTATATACCTAATTATCTTTTATACCTAAGAAGTAAAAATTTTGTATACTATGCTCGTCTTTTATTTCCTATTAATTTACTATTAATCTTTTATTTATTTGTTATTAAATATTAATTAATTGCATATGAAAAAATGGAAGGAGTACAAATTAATTATTATTTGTATACAGAATGCCATAACAAATATTTGCTATTAAGGTTTTAAAATGTGCAAAAAATATTTAAAAGCAGCATTAGGCACTTTCTTCTCTCTCACACATATAACAAATAATAGATACTTATTTTGATAGACATCGGAATTTTACACTTCAGACAAATGTTTGTATGTATTGATAATTTAATTTTCCATAGATAAAAATAATTGTGATATAAATAACATTTCATACATAATATATACAGAAAATTCAAATAATTAAATTATATTATAATTAATTTTATTATGCAATAAACACTTAACTGATATTATAATTTATTTAACGGTCTACAAAATAATGTACAATATTTTGTTAAAATATATTTACAAAAAAAAACTATTCATTTATTCATTTTTTTATCACCAATTTGACTTTTTCGGTTTGTGTTCGAAGATAATATTTTGGAAACCGCTGCATCCCGCTCTTGCGACAGCTCCACAGGTTGGAAATCACTGACTTGGTGTATGATGAAGTTTGCATTGACAGGATAGTTAAATATACCCTTCTTTTATCTATGGTTAAATAGAAAGTTTCTTGTTTTTTTTTTAGAAATATTTTTACCAGTTTGATTTCTTTATTATCCTCAAAATTTGTAGTTTTTATTCAAAATTGTATGTGCTTATAATTCTTAACATTATTTCGTCGATGTTTATTATTTTAGTTTTGAAAATCGTGCTCAAATTCGTTGTTACTATGTTGGCAAATCAGATAACCTCAGCCGCGTTAAAATTGTAGGTTTCACTTTGCAGTCTGAACAACGTCGCTCCAGAGTCTTACGAAAGTCGGCCATTATTACTGTTTTGTGGTGACAATATTCCTAAAAGCTGAGTTCAATCAAACTTGATCAATTGTTCCAAGACGTTTTAGACATAAAAAATTACTGTGTTGTTATTATAAAAGTTCGGTCCAATGGCTGAGACCGATAAATTAAACATTGATAGCATAATCTCACGTCTCTTAGAAGGTAGAAATGTGTTTATATCTGGCTCTCGTTTAAGTAAACTGTCAATGGCCGCCTTTTGCCAACGCCCGATAAAAAATACTTTTCGAGAGTTTTGTTTTAATATTAATGTGTCAATCAATGCAGTTTTGGTAATAATGATGTTGTATGTTTAATTTCAGTTCGAGGTGCTCGGCCAGGTAAAAATGTTCAATTGTCAGAAGGTGAAATTCGAGGGCTCTGTCTAAAATCTCGGGAAATATTTTTATCACAACCAATCTTACTGGAACTGGAAGCACCATTAAAAATATGCGGTAATTACATTTGTATTGGTGTCAAAATGAAAAAAAATCTGTCAAATGCTTATCACTTATGTATTTCATTATTTGACATGTTGGCTTACACTTGATTATTTCTTATTTGTTGCTCCAAAGATTTATAATGATATATAACTGTGGAAATTCAATTTGTGCAATTGATTTCAGGTGATATTCACGGTCAATATTACGACTTGTTGAGACTTTTCGAGTATGGGGGATTTCCACCAGAATCAAATTATTTATTTCTGGGTGATTATGTTGATCGTGGTAAACAGTCTTTAGAAACAATTTGCTTATTGTTAGCATATAAAATTAAGTATCCAGAAAACTTTTTCTTGCTCAGAGGTAACCACGAATGTGCAAGCATCAATAGGATTTATGGGTATGTTTACATGCTTTTAAATAAAATCTAGTATTTACATTGACATGAATGTTTGCTTGCAGTTTTTATGATGAATGTAAACGACGCTACAACATAAAATTATGGAAAACCTTCACAGACTGCTTTAACTGCCTGCCTGTTGCTGCAATTGTGGATGAGAAAATCTTCTGTTGTCATGGTAAGCAATTGTGATTGTATTTCACATGTTACGTTGTTTTTAATATCATTACTTGGATATAATGTAACTTCAAAATTATATATAACTTTTACTTTTTTTGAGAATTTAGAATTTTTGCAAAACAAAGAAAATGTGTATATATAATAGTTTATTAAGTGGTAGAAGTTTAATTGGAATTTGCTTTAAGATATCAATATGATATAAAATTATTTTTAGGGGGATTGTCACCTGACTTACAGTCTATGGAACAAATCAGAAGAATAATGAGGCCGACAGATGTACCTGATCAAGGCTTGCTGTGCGATCTACTATGGTCAGATCCCGACAAGGACACCATGGGCTGGGGTGAAAATGATCGTGGTGTTAGTTTTACATTTGGAGCAGAGGTACGTAATTTAATCTACAGTAATAGTAACACAATATGGTAAATTTTGCCAGTTTATTTTACAAGGTAGCTTTTTTTCAATCTTGTACTCTAAATTATGATTATTTTCGTATTGCATTCTGCAATAGTCATAATTTCTTATTAGTATAACAATTGAAACTCACATTTCATAGCACTTGTGGGTCTTTTTAGTTTGATAAGTGAGTTCATCACAGATAATTAAAATAAAAACTACATTGTTAAATATGTTGGATAGGTACATATTTTGATGCAGGATATTCTTGAGAACAATAGTGCAGGCCTCAAAAATATTCCAGAACATTTATATGCATATGATGTACTAAATATTAACTAGAACATCTATTGCCAAATTTATTATAAACAATACAAATGTTACACTATATGCAATTTGTAGGGCTCTAACTTAATAACATGATGTCCAAATCTTTATTCAATAGTTTATCGCATTACACTGAAATGTTTATCAGTTTTGTCACAATTACTTGCATAAGGTGCACTGGTTTTTAATCTTGATATCCCAATATCATTATATTGTTGCCAGTGTGTGATTAGTAGTATGTAATGTATTTATCTGAATATTTCATGCTAGGTTAACTGTTGTATTTACATGAAATTCATATTTTTAGGTAGTTGGGAAGTTTTTACACAAGCATGATTTTGATCTGATATGTAGGGCACATCAAGTTGTTGAAGATGGTTATGAATTTTTTGCTAAGAGGCAGTTGGTAACCTTATTCAGTGCACCAAATTATTGTGGTGAATTTGACAATGCGGGTTAGTATAATATTTTCTATTTGTCATAGACACATAAATAACGAATTTAATTTTATATACTATTTATACAATTTATTTTATATACTATTTATTTCATAATTAATTCTTTGAAAATCATTTTAGGAGCTATGATGTCTGTAGACGAGACACTTATGTGTTCCTTCCAGATATTGAAACCTGCTGATAAAAGGAAATTCCAATATGGAGGCCTGAATGCAGGCCGGCCTGTGACTCCCCCGAGGGGAGCCAATAACAAGAATAAAAAGAAGTAATAAACACCCAAACTGTCACTATTTGTCTAATTTAACTTTCATTAAAAACAACAACAAATATTAACTTGAATCTGTAGGGCATATTAAAGACGATTCTCTATGCACAAACAAAAATTCTTTAAAACAAAATTAGTAAGTTAGGCTGAGTTTACAGAGTTTAACTTTATCAAGTTAGCAAGTTTGCCATTCAGGTTTAACTACTTATAAAGTATCACACTCTCTTGTTGCTTTTTTCTTGTGTTGTTGCATTATGAGAAGTATATCTCTCTTTAAGTTACATTTGTATTTCTGTACACCATGGAACAGTGTTCTGTTATTAATTTTTCAACACTCGTGGTGTTGACAAATATTTTTATTAAAATACAGGTTTTATATATAAATGCACTTTTACAGATACAAATATATACATGTACATGGGTGCAATGTTTTGTTTGTGCATACATACATGTATGTATTTTATTCGGTTTATTTTATTTAATTCAATTATTTTACCATTTAAAACAATTTTCATAATTCAAGATACTTTGCTCAACTATTATCATTTTCTTGTTTTAGCAAGTATTATTCCGATTATTAACAATTTTTATTTTATTTTTTTTTGTCTTGCATTAATTTATGATGCAGTTTGTGTTTTAACACAAATTGTGAACAATTTTTTTTTATTTTAGGGGGGACTGATAATTTTACATTATAAGCCACCATTTGTATCGGAATCGAGCTTCCTCCACAAGCACATTTTCATTTATGTTAACTAATTCATTAATTTATGAGTTCACATGTATGTAGTACTTTCATTTCCATTAAACTTTTTAGTTTTATATAAAACTTCTATTGGCATGAGATTTTAGAATATCGTAATTCTAATTTACATTCAAATTGTTATTTTAGCTGATTAAATTAGATTTTTAAACATGTACATGTTTTCAATAAAGCAAAATGTTATATTTATTTCTCAAAATAAAATTCATATAAAACATGTCATTGTTTATCTTTACAAAATGGTGCAATGATTGCACCTTCTAAAACGAAGGTCATGTCATAATTCTTTTGTCGGTATAATATCAACAATGTTAAATTTGTATAATTCTATGAACATCTGAATACAACAAAGATATCTGTTGGAAATGTGTCAGACAAGATTGCTTCCAGAGTTTTGTTTTTTTCATCATGCTATTGAAGCATCAATTTATGTTAAGTAATGGAATAATTGACAGAATATGACGTTTTAACTTGATAAATATACTCCGTTTTGTAGTGTGTTACAATTAAAAAGCTTTTATACGCGCGTTGGTACATTTTTATAGTGGTAGTATGTTATCGATTAAAATTGCGGGTTTAACATAATCTCTAGGTAAAGACAGTTTGTATTCAGATTTTCAATCATATTGTTGAAATGTTTATATGCAGCCAAATAGTTGAAATAAAAAGCAATAAATAACTAT